TATGCTCTTTCGTTTGGAATAGTCAGATTTTCGAAAATCAGCTTAGAAATATCACTTTTTTTCAATTTATAATTGAAATAACCATGAAAATTCGCTATCGAACGATACTCAAATTTTGTCTATATTCTTCATAAAATTTTAAGTATTTAGAAAAGATCTCTAAAGAATATGCCATTATATAGAAAAAAGTATGCTCTTTCGTTTGGAATAGTCAGATTTTCGAAAATCAGCTTAGAAATATCACTTTTTTTCAATTTATAATTGAAATAACCATGAAAATTCGCTATCGAACGATACTCATATTTTGTCTATATTCTTCATAAAATTTTAAGTATTTAGAAAAGATCTCTAAAGAATATGCCATTATATAGAAAAAAGTATGCTCTTTCGTTTGGAATAGTCAGATTTACGAAAATCAGCTTAGAAATATCACTTTTTTTCAATTTATAATTGAAAAAACCATGAAAATTCGCTATTGAACGATACTCAAATTTTGTCTATATTCTTCAAAAAATTTTAACTATTTAGAAAAGATCTCTCAAGAATATGCCATTATTTAGAAAAAAGTATGCTCTTTCGTTTGGAATAGTCAGATTTTCGAAAATCAGCTTAGAAATATCACTTTTTTCCAAATTAAAATTGAAAAAACCATGAAAATTCGCTATTGAACGATACTCAAATTTTGTCTATATTCTTCAAAAAATTTTAACTATTTAGAAAAGATCTCTCAAGAATATGCCATTATTTAGAAAAAAGTATGCTCTTTCGTTTGGAATAGTCAGATTTTCGAAAATCAGCTTAGAAATATCACTTTTTTTCAATTTATAATTGAAATAACCATGAAAATTCGCTATCGAACGATACTCAAATTTTGTCTATATTCTTCATAAAATTTTAAGTATTTAGAAAAGATCTCTAAAGAATATGCCATTATATAGAAAAAAGTATGCTCTTTCGTTTGGAATGGAGAGATATTCGAAAATCGGCTTAGAAATATCACTTTTTTTCAATTTATAATTGAAATAACCATGAAAATTCGCTATCGAACGATACTCAAATTTTGTCTATATTCTTCATAAAATTTTAACTATTTAGAAAAGATCTCTAAAGAATATGCCATTATATAGAAAAAAGTATGCTCTTTCATTTGGAATCAAGAGATATTCGAAAATCGGCTTAGAAGTATCACTTTTTTTCAATTTAGTATTGAAAAAACCGTGAAAATTCGCTAACGAACGATACTAAAATTTTGTCTATATTCCTCATAAAATTTTAACTATTTAGAAAAAATCTCTAAAGAATATGCCATTATATAGAAAAAAGTATGCTCTTTCGTTTGGAATTGACCGATGTTCGAAATTCGGCTTAGAAGTATCACTTTTTTTCAATTTAAAATTGAAAAAACCATGAAAATTTGTCTATCGAACGATACTCAAATTTTGTCTGTATTCTTCATAAAATTTTAACTATTTAGAAAAGATCTCTAAAGAATATGCCATTATATAGAAAAAAGTATGCTCTTTCGTTTGGAATAGTCAGATTTTCGAAAATCAGCTTAGAAATATCACTTTTTTCCAAATTAAAATTGAAAAAACCATGAAAATTCGCTATTGAACGATACTCAAATTTTGTCTATATTCTTCATACAATTTTAACTATTTAGAAAAGATATCTCAAGAATATGCCATTATTTAGAAAAAGGTATGCTCTTTCGTTTGGAATTGAGAGATGTTCGAAAATCGGCTTAGAAATATCACTTTTTTTCAATTTATAATTGAAATAACCATGAAAATTCGCTATCGAACGATACTCAAATTTTGTCTATATTCTTCATAAAATTTTAAGTATTTAGAAAAGATCTCTAAAGAATATACCATTATATAGAAAAAAGTATGCTCTTTCGTTTGGAATTGAGAAATGTTCGAAAATCGTTTGGAATTGAGAAATGTTCGAAAATCCGCTTAAAGTATGCTCTTTCGTTTGGAATTGAGAAATGTTCGAAAATCCGCTTAGAAATATCACTTTAAATCCGCTT